TGTGACCATTTTCAATAATCTTTCTGCTGCAGTAAATTTGCCCATTGTGGGACAATAAAGAGATATTCTATTTTATTCTATTCCATAAAAGGGGTAGAAAGATCAAAGTAAATCAAACAATGTATGTATAAAATAAATCTGCAAAATCTCTGATATCCAACAATAAAAAAGACTTATTTAAGCATATTGTTCAAAACAGCAATTATAAAATAAAAATCCTATCAGATTTATAGTCCCCTCACTGCAGATATATTAGAATCTGTCCTTAAATTACAGCTAAACCCATTCACACAGTAATAGATAAAAACCTTTAGATAAATCAAACATCACCGCCACATATCTGACTCAGTAACCATTAAAACAACCGTTTTCATTCATTTCAGACGGAACTATTCACATACATTATATTAAACTGAACTTCCATTATTCACCACTGTTAGGCACCAAGCACCATTACCTCTGATCACGGAGCAGCAGGCTAGCTTGGTCTTGCAATGAATCCTGGGATATCCAAGGATAGCGAAGATACATTGGACCCATCCTTCATATCGGGCCAAAAGAATGACGCATTTTAACACCGCTTAACAAAAGCGTCTTGGAATCCGACCAGACCTCGGCACCACGCTATGTCGTAATCGTCCTTCGAATCTGGCCTACAGAGGATGCAGCCCATGAATTCAAAAGGGCCAGTAGCAGCAGTAATACCTTCAAGTGGAATATTCTAAACGTTTTAATTTTTCATATATTTTCATATATTTACATTTATTTACTTTTGCCTGGCCACCCTTATAAAAATTTTCTAGCTACACCTCTGCTTTTAAATTCAGAAAAGATTTTTGATTGTTTTAACGCAATATTTATACTGAACTATGTATTAACACCTTTATTAGAAATATATCTTTCCATCGGCCACCGTTCTATGTCTGGATTTAAAATAAAAACATCTGTTCCTGTTATCTAATTTCTCTTTCTAAAAATCTAATTTGAAATATTGGGTAGGACTTTCTATGTGCCTTATGCATACATGTTAAAATGTTATACTCCATCAATTCATTAAGTTTTAATATGTTTAACTGTATAAATATTGAATTTATCTGATCTCTGTATCCACTTATAACTGTTCTCTTGTGCAACAACAACAAAAAAGTTCTGCTGCAGGGAGCTGGGAATGTTTGCTTTGCAGCAAACCTTTTTAGGAACCATTGCAGTTTTACAGCATTGCCATGCTCCAATCAAAAATACATTTCAACATGTAAGATTAAAGTATATATACTTAAATTAAATATACTTTAACCTTACAGATTTAAACTTTGACCTGATGGCTCAATTCAATTTACATATTTTATTACTTACTTTAGACTTAGTAAGACTTTAAGACGATACTTCATTATACTATATTTGAAAAGACAGACTTCTTGCAGTGATCTGACTTGGAGATGAAATTTTTTTTTCATAAACTGACTTGATTCTCTTATTGGAGCAACAAAAGCTACATCCTGAAGGTTTCAGTCCATTGCAAGACTGAAATACTTCAATATTTAAAGAATAGCTGGTGAATAAGACTTGTTAATGACTTGAAAAATAAACCATAAGACTTGGTCTTAACTCGGAACTTGTTCTTCAAAGACTTGAGAGTTACTTGGGACTTGGTAAAACTCAATCTCACCTGTCTTTGTTACATTTAAATTCTGAGAAACAGAAGAGCGTGATCATGATTGTTGATCATTTGTGAATTATTTGATGTTTCAGGCAAACAGCTGCATGTATGTTGTTTTTGCTAGATATTCTGTGGCTACAAAAAAAAAAAAAAAGAAAGATCTTCCAACACATTTTGTGAGTGACACACATTGGATGTTGTTGCTCATCAGAAGAAAACAAAGCAAAACAGACAATAAATGCCTCATTAGTCTGATCTTAATATTTTTTTCATTGCCTTGTAGCTTCCTTCTGAGGTGCCATGAAGATATCTGTTCTTTCAAACTGCTACGGAGGCCAGAGTCAGGGAGTGATTTGTATAGAGACAGACCCCATTTCAGTATCCACAAAGAAACATACACTAAATACCAAGAAAATTGAAGTCAAGTTCCAGAGAAAAAATAACCCAAAACACTGGAAATCTGGATCTTTAAGATATAGTGATTGATAGTTCTACTCATTACAATTTTAGTGTTCAAGGCTTACACTTTAAAGAGTAAATAACTCTTTAGACAGCCACAAAAAACTGTAAATACCGCAAACATGTCGCAGAGCATGTAAACAAAACTGACAGCTTAATTTGCTGGAAATCTACTGTGGAGCAAGAGCTGTAACTCTATACGGGTTGTTCTTAAACCACATGACACTGAAAGAAGGTCGCAGACGAACAGAGCCTAATTTGCATTAGAAAATAGAAAAGACATTCCGCTACACCTTAACTTTTAGCCCTGCAGTCTCTTTTCCTTCAGGTAAAGTTAAACAATGTCTTCATGATTTTCTTTAAGATCAGAGGTTAGCTCCTCCACACCTTCCATCAAAGTTCTAACCTATGCAGTTTTCCTCTGATTGTGGAGCCATGCAGGAGTCTGCTATACATTCTATGAGGGACAAAGGGTATTTTAAGGCTTCTTTAAGCATCTTACTCTCTGCTTTTGGGTAAACTTGCTCGCAGGATGAGACCTAAACACACTGATACTCTTCTCACTGTCCTGCACTTGTAAACCACTTCCATATACGTAAATGTAAATCACTTTGTCCCACAAGGTGGAAATTCATTCTCTGCATTTTGACCCATCCCCTTGGGGAGCGATGGGCTGCCATTGTGTGGCGCCCACGGAGCAATCAGGGGTTAAGGGTATTGCTGAGGGACCCAGAGTTTAGGCTGCGGGGATCGAACCGGGTACTTGCAACCTTAGAGCACAAGCACACTGCTCCAACCACTAGGCCAACACTCTTCTTCTTCATCCAAAATGACAATTCTTCTTAATTAATATAAGTACCGTATTATCCAATATCCAAAATTTGCAAGGAGTTGCAAAAGTAAACTTTGAAGCCTCACAGATTAATGTTTATCACATCAAGTAAAACAAGTTATTGTTTTTTAGATCTGAGATTTCAAACTACTTATTTGAAATATTGGCACCCTCATTTATGGAAACCGTAGGACTGAGAATATTACTTCCAAAGCAGTAATATTAACAAAAAAAGCAGCCTATTTATACTGCAGCTACTTAGCTGCTATTAATTGAAATAAATGTGCCACCAGTGATGGTTAGTATCACCATAAAACAAACTATGCATTTCAAAATTACAGTAAGCTGAGACAGAGACTGTTAAAACTGTTAAGAGCTGGCTTTTTAATAAAACAGAAAAGAACAATTAAAAACAAAAATAAAAACAAACAGAACAGAAATGCATGAAATATTGATCATATTTTCCTGATTCAAAACAAAATGAATCCAGAACTTGAAAAAAAAGCAGAACTTTGCATTCAAGCACATATCCTTCCATAACTGTACTGCTTCATTAGTGCACACTTCCGACTAGTAAATATCCTTACAAAAAATACTTCTTATATGTCAAAATATATCTGTACAGAGTCAACACATACTGAAAGGAATGCCTGACGTAAAAATGCAACAGTAAAGTGAAAAGGACCGGCAGTAACAATGCAGAAAGATCTTGGATGAAACATGACAGTAGTGGAGAGAGTCTGAAACAGCTAGTGTGGGTACAGTAAGTTCATCTTTGTATTTACAATTAATCTTAATCCAGACCACAGAGAACACACAACACCTCTATGTGACATTTTTAATCATTTGTTTACTCTGCAGCATGGTCAAAAGTTAGCATTTAAATCACTGCACATCTTGATGACACAGATTTATATCTCATGGTAGTTGTTTCAGTAATGCTGTTGAGAGATGGGACTCATCTGCATCTGCAGCACAATAAAAGGTCCCAGAGAAACCAGCAAACATCAAAGTGATCAATTACAAAAGCTACTTAAATGCTACCAAGAGCTGACTTGCTTCATTATATACAAACACATGTAACTAATGTATGCGATGGATTTCAGAGGATTCCAAATAAAGCTTAAGATATCTTCAGAAATATACCAAAATAAAATAAATTAAAAAGTATATTGCAGGTGTTTTCCAGAACCGTTTGATGGGACACATCCTTACGCACTCCTTCAACTAATGCATTCTCCAATTGACGCACTGTTTGGCACTTCACTGTATGTGCACACACTCACACACAAACATACTGAAATATAACCTGTTTATAGGGATGTCAGTGACATGTAAAAAAGGAAAAAACAAAAAACAATTAAAAACATGCTTTTTTTAGCAGCAGAAGTTGCATCAAATATGCTGCTTCTGATCACAGAGAGTCCACCCTTCATTCGGGTAATCTGATCTCAGATCTGTGTGTACAGAGAACAAAATGACACAAACACCCACAGAGCATCCATGACAGAACAAGCATAAGGCTATATAAGATAAACGAAGGAAATCCAAAGTGCCTCTGAGAGGCGTGACATTCAGTGCTTCTATAGTTAAGCTTGGTAAGGCATCGGCTCACCTGGTATCTTTTCTTTTTTGGCACATGAGAACATTGACACACATGCTGACAAGAAAACACTTGTGCCCAATGGAAGTAGTGTCATAGCCAGCTTTGTATTATCTTTATGTGTTAATCATGTATTTTGAAATTCCAGTTGTGACTTTTAGGGAATGGTAACTGGTGTTTGTCTAATAAAAAAAAAAAAGAATCGTCCTCTACAAGCTGTTTGATTTGACGGAGTAATTCCAGATGCTGCCCCATCACCTGGCACTACTTTGGATGTTTTTTGGGCGTCCCCTGCTTTTTAGTTTGCCACAGGTGGTTGGGAATGGTGATGGCATCCACACTGGCAGACATGGTCTTAGCTGGGATCTTGCTGAACTGCTTCCTGTCCGAGTTGTACTTGTAAAGAGTCTCGATCATCTTGGTGGTAATGGTTTTAGGGCCAATACCGGCCAGTTTGGTGATCTCTTCGGTTTCAGGGCAATACGTGTAGACAGACCTGAACTGACACCCAGAGTCACGGAATAACACCAGGAAGTTATTGGCTTCAGATTTCTCCATTTCCTGCAAGAGATGTGAAGAAAAAGATTATATCAATGTGGAATATTACCTTTGTGTACTAACACAGATTAATTTCTGGTTTGGAACAAAACGTTGATAAATTCTACTATAGATAAATCCATGAGTACAATTTTTAAGATCCCGTTGAGACATTAGTCCTATGCTTTAGATGATAAAAGGCAGTCTTTATTATTGTCTTCATGTGCCTCTGAAGGTTCAGGTCTTAGATCATCACTACACCAGATTTGGAGCCTGATTGGTGGCTTCAAGTTCAAACCACCAAGTGACTAGCAGATACATATCATTAATGTCTTTGATATCATTTAGCTAGAAAAACAAAACAAAACTGCTAAATCTATTGCTGCTCATTTCCTTCCAGAGTAGTAAATCATTTGTATGGAGCCCTTAGTCTTTTCTAAGGGACATAAAAAGCTGTGCGTTACCATGGAAAGCATTTTTCAATGCTTTCTGTAAATAGAACAAAAAGGCAGAAGTGAAGTAAAACAGGAGAGGTGATTCATGTAGTACCCCATAGGAGGTGATTCCACATTTAAGAGAGGGTGTTTCTCAAGTCTGGGAAAGTTTATTCAGCAGTAGGAGGATCTGACTTGATTGTCAAACTTTGAATTTAGGACAGGCAATGTGGTTTTAATTCTCCCTGAAGACTGGATCAGATATTTAACCATGAAGGGTTGCTAAAGGAGCTTGGTTGTACTGTTAGTGCCTTTTGCCTTTCCAAAGACAGAAACCATGTCTGAATCAAACAGGTGCAGTTTCGATTCCACCAGAGCCGTCCCTCGTCCCTGATTCTGTTCATTTTGTTCATTGACAGGGATCTCAAGGTGTAGTTGTAGGGAGGACAGTGTCCAGTTTGAAAAAAAAAGGGCTATCTCAGGTTCTTTTAGGTAAGTCCTTCTGTTGATGTCTTTATGCCATGATCTGGATGTGCACTAGAAGCAGAGCGAGTTTGAAGAAAGTAGGATAAGTTAACACCCCCTAGAGTATGATGAGTGCCTTGCTAGTGTGTTGAGTTGAAAAAAGAGATAAGTGAACAAAGCAAAGCTACTGGATTAACCAGTTTGTGCACATGCTGACCCTCACTTTTGGTCGTAAGATATGGATAATGACCAAAAGAACCAGTTCCCACACATAAGCTTCCATTTCAGGCTGCTGAGCTTATAAAGCACTTAGATACTGGATAAGAAGCTCTGTCATCAAGCAAGTTTTTTTAAACGGATGTTTTTGCAGGGAAATGTAACAGGAAGAAGATTCTGTAGAACCCGAATTTGGATGATGGAGTATACAACCCTTCTGGTCTGGGAAAGCCTCAGATTCCCCAGAATGTCACCTTGGAGAACGATCTTTGGGGCTACATTCACATGTGGAGCCAAAGATGGTACCCCTAAATAAATGTTTGAGCTTAAAAATGAAACAAAATTAGACCAAGGAGCCGTAATGGGTGTTTTAATATGAATGCCATGCTAGAGAGGAGCGTGGCAAGCCTGCTGTCGAAGAAAAGAAAGAAGAGGAGCAGGTTAAAAATAATAAATCCTGAAGTGAGAAAAGAGGCATCTGTGTAGACTGACGGCAAGTTGGTCCACACAAATAATGTCAAATAATAATTAAGAAGACAGGTTTCTTTCCTAGACCTTGTACCTCTCTGAACAATTCTGAGAGAAGCATTAAAAAAGATGGATTACTTATGGCTTTGGGTCCAAAGACAAAAAGTATAGAAATAATGACTAATCTTTTTGTAACCAATTTTCCTGCTGTTCTTCAAAACAGGCAATCTGTCTAAAGTATTTCCCTGACTTTTAAGCATAATCAAAACAACTTGAAAGACATAGTGAACGATTTTTCTGGAAATGTACGTAAGAAATGCAAGTCCATTTCTGAATTACTACGGACCCGTTTTTTGGTTCAATTTGCATGTTTTCAAAGCCATAACAAGGCTTTTGTCTGGGCCTCTCTATAAGCCAGGAACTCAACGCTACTCCAGACATCTTGAATTGAAAAAGCTTTTTGGATGGGAAGGGAAATGTCTTCAAATTTGGAAAACAAAATCAAGTGGCTTGCTTTTTGAACTTTTATGGAATGACTATGACCTGGGTGACTGAGAATCTTCCCCAGCGAATTACTACACATGCAAAAGACCATGCCTGCTCTTCTGCCATAAAATGAAAGAATGCCCAAATTAGGTCTAGTCTATTTTTTTTCCTTTGGGTATTTCTTATTTAATGATCTATTATTTCATAGTATGCAGGAAGAGAAATAGCTGAAACCAAAGCTTACTGCACACATACACCAGTGTTTTCTAATGCACAGTGATGGAAAACTAGCACGTCACAAAGATTTGCATGTGGGACAACCAAAAGATAGGATGTCCCCCCTGGACCTCGAAGTCCAAAAAAGATCGTCCACTATACCTTTAGGTAAGAATAGTCAAAGAAAGTGAAACAAAGTTCATGTAACTTAACCTGTAACCATTATACAACCACAGATACAAAACATACATCAAGTATCTTGTTTTTCTGCCCTTCGTTGACTTTCCCAGCCAGGCAGCAGTGAGCTAGGGCATTTTGGATGATGTGCTTGTTGGATTTTGCACTAGGCTCCTTGTACAGTTTTGGTCCTGCGGAAAGAAGGGATGAGAGTGCAAAAATTAAACATCTGCCGGACAAACAGAGCAGAGAGAATACAAATCCCAAATTTCTCCCCCTTTCTACCTGTGTATTCTGTGTTGGAGGGTGTGGAGGAGGTGGTCGAGTCGTTCTCCCAGTCTTTTTCTCCATTACGACTGCCGGCCGAAGGACAAGACGAAAAGCCCTCTGCTGAGTCTGGCCTGATTGTGGCCACCAAACAGCAAACACAGACGGAAAAACAAATCACACCCAGACACATACAAGATAGTGCCAGACATTGCACACAGAGACATGCACAGAAACAAAGAGATGGGTCAAAGCAAGTTTAGACATTGGGACATAGTTTTCCAAAGTCTGCCTGTTGTGCTGCATCACATCAAAGTCTAACGCTCTGATGAAGCTGAGCTGTGTTCAACCAAGCAAAGCAAAGTGGTTGGCCTCATGGTTACAGAGAGTTATGAAAGGAACAGCAAGCAAACAGCTTAAGCATAAAGCAGAGATTAATGCAATACAGAGAAAGAAATGGAAACAGCTCTGCAGCCTGCATCTGATGAACCATAATAAAAACACAAAAACTATAACGGTGCAAATACAGTTTCCTAATTAGGAAATTAACCTCCATTTTCTTTTTTATATAAATAACGCAATGAAGCAAAATATAAAATTAAATTGAAGCTCCAGCATATCTTCACAGAACAACACCTAAAGAGGTTTAACTTTATTTCAGTGTTACTAACCTTCCCTTTCTGTCTTTGGGGGAGCTTAAAAAAAACGGGATATGGGCAGAAGCTAGTTTGCTGCCTCTGAAGGATTCATGCACAGCAGACGTAGAAAAAGAGGAGAAGACAGGGAGAAAGCAGAATCAAACTGTAGACAATAGAGCCTTCTGGGTCTGGGTCAAGGAGTACATTAGTATTTTTTTACACATTCAGAGAAAGTCAAATCAGGGTGTAACAAAGGGTTTGTTAGTTTAACTTGGTATGCACAAAAACACAAACAAAACCATAGTAGTTTCTAACTTGGTTTTAGCTGATTGGTTTACTATTGGATTAAAGATGTGGATATAAGGAAAAAAAAAACAAATGTTTAACCTTTAGACGTGCACAATACTCTTAACATCTTATACAACAGACAGAGGCGCCGTATTGGGGGGAAAGTTAGGACGACTCTACGAGCCCTTGACTGAGGGGGGCCCCAAAAAGAATTTGATTTAGATTAATCTGAATTAGATTTGTCCCACTATATTTTTCAAATATAAAAATGGAAAAGGAACGGAAAGGAAGGATAAACAGGGAGAGGGAGAAGGCATCCATTACCGAGACCTCTTGTTTTTGTCAGAAAATTTTCTAAACTGAATAGCTAAAATTAACAATAGATTATTAAGCTGTTAAATAAAATAAGATAGCTATCTGCTTCATACAACTACCTAGTCATTAATGATGCCTGCTGTCTGAAACGGAACATAATTGCAAGCCAGGATTAATCTAGCATTTATTACACCTATTGTGTCTCTGCAAATAACGCAGAAGGACACAGAGCTCAGACTTTACCTTTACAACTGTCCCAGTGACAGGTGAGCTACATAACAAACATTGTGTTCAGGGACAGGCCAGTTTGCATCAGTACAGTCTTTTGGAATGTCCCTCTTTTTCCCATTTGATATATATATATATATATATATATATATATATATATATATATATATATATATATA